GCCTGTGCGTCATACCTCCAGCGGCCAGACAGCGAGGCCGCATGACGGCACATCGATAGCTTGCAGTCCCAAATGACAGTGGAAAATAGTAGGAAAATCGGGAAACGACCACGTATCATAGGTAGAGAAGGGTACTACAGCTCAAATCTTCGAATTCGGCGGTTGCTTCTGCCATTCTGTACCCGTGCCGTGTACTCTACTGTGACGAGATTGAACGTTGCCAACCAAGCTCTCGTTTCCTGCTAAATCTAGCGTCGTCGCAGACGTTTTTTTTTTTTTTTTTGTTTTTTAGTTACTTTGGCACAGTGAGAAGCAATTTCGACCGATTTTGCGTTTTTGGCTCAACTAGGTACAGAAAATTGGGTTTGTATCAAAATGGTGCAATTGGCGCAGATGTCACACCCCTGCTTTCACCACTGCACCATGCCTGAACGAAAACCCTGTTGAACGCGTGAAGGTTGTTCCCAAGCTTCCACTCATCTATTTCTAAGCTAAGTTAGTTTTACTCTAACTATATTTACCAACAGTCGCCTCAGAAAGTACAATGCCAACATTGGGATAGCAAGTAAATTATGCACTTGACATAAAATTAGGCCTATAAAGCTGTCCTACCATGCGTAATCGAGGAGATTTATCAATTTTCTTGTTATATGCAAATATATTTTCTTCAATCAGAAATGAATAATGCACGTTGTAAGGGCATCTCTGCCTAGCATACATTCCTGCATAATACAGTCGAGCCCGGTTATATCACACTCGGGTATTTCGAATTATTGTTTATATCAAATAGTCCAAACAACCCCTTGAAAATCACATGTAATAGTATAGAACCGTCATCTTTTTGTATCAAACTCCCATGGCGAGGACACTCGATATAGCGAACGAAGCCCCACCACCCATTGCTTTTCCCGCGATCCGCGGGGCTGTCAGACCGCCAAGCCAGCACAGACGCGCTGGAATATACGCAACGAAAGAGCAGTTGTAAGAAAAGAAAGACAGTAAACAGTAAAAAGAAAAGTGGAGGATGGCAAAAGCAAGGGGAAGGGCATACGCATGGGTGTAGGAAGGGCAGGGAGTGCCCGCTGTGAGAGCTGTGGGAACGGTAGCCTGCACCCTTTCCACGAACATTGCTGATGCTGCACGACTCCCTCGCCCCAAAATAAAATAAATAAAAAAAAAAAAAAAAGTCTTCTGCCCCGCTATAAAGAGATTTATAAATTTTTTTGCTATATGCCAATATATTTTCTTCAATCACAAATGAATAATGCAGGTTGTAAGGGCATTTCTGCCTAGCATATGCTTCTGCATAATACAGTGAAACCCGTTTAGAACGAACCTACATACAGCGAATTATTGTCGATATCGAACTCACAAACAATTTAAATCAAAATGTATGTAAAAAGTACTTTTTATAACGAACAACATATTGGCTATAACCAAACTTTTTTCTCCCGGGAAGGCTTCCAAAAACGTGCAAACAATCGTCTTTCAGCCAATGCCTTCGCCCGAAAAAGTGTAAGAAAGAAAAAAAATTCCCAAAGCTTGAGCTGCAAACAAAAATAAGCGAAGAAAAGCGATTCCGAAGGGGCACAGAAAAAAAATATTGTTTAAGTGCAAAGCGGTTGCTTACGAAGAAAAGCAATTAAAAAACGGAGATAAGCTAAAAAAAAAAAAAAATCTTTCTAGCGCATTGTTACAAGGCAAAAGCGAAGATATGATGAGAAAGAAAGAGAAGTTCTCGCCTCCTTTCTCTTCGCGCCCTGTTTCATCTAAAGTCACTTTAGTTTGACCTAGGGGGCCTTCATGTCCCGCCGAAGAGAACTTGAAGGCACTCTAGTTTGACCCTTTTCACCTTGCGCGTTCACTTGGGGCTTGACACGCCACGCCCCAAGAGGCAATAAGCCTATCGCATTTCCGATTCCATAGCATTGTCACATGCCGTTGAAAGCGTCAACCACCAGGCAAAGCTCTCTCTCTTTCCCTCCCTCCTTTCTTCTCGTTATTTTGTTGTCTTTTGTTGTCGTCTTTCTTGTCCCCATTGCACTCTCTGTTCACTGTGCGGACCAGCTAGTTCACGCCCGAAATGACGACGAAGCAGCGGCAGGCTCTGCCACTTTCCGACAAGGTCGACATCATCAGTCGTGTGAAGCACGGTGAAAAGAAATCAGACGTTACTGCCGCCTAAAGATCCCCAGAAGTACTCTGAGTACAATTCTTAAAAACAAGTCTGCCATCCGAGACAAGGCCCGTGAACTGCCAAATGCGGACAGCAGGCGCATCCGCAAGCCGGCATACGACAAGGTGGAAAAAGCGCTGTACCAATGGTTTTTGGACATTCGTGCGCGGAACCTGCCGGTCTAAAGACCGATGTTGCAAAGCAAGGCTAGAGATTTTGCATCCCTCCTGAACGTTGAGGGCTTCCCCGCTGGATCTGGGTGGCTGCAGCGATTTAAAGATCGATATTTAATCGTCGTGAAAGTCGTAGCTGGGTTTCGTAAATGGATTTTGCTATATCGAACTACTTGCTATATCAAACTGATCGTAGCGTTTCCTGCTGTTCGTTATAAACGGGTTTCACTGTAGTCAGTTTAATTTAGAAAATTTTATTGCAATGTAGATACAAACATTCACAAAGTTTACGCTTCTTTTTAAATACACCAGCCGCGCGCATTAACCATTCCGCTTCGAAAATGTGCTTTTCTCCCAAGCTTGTGGCTGCAATATTTGTACTTTTCGAAGTGTTCATCGCGGCGAGTTAGGCCCGTTGAGTGCGCTTCTTACCGAGCACCGGTGCACTGCAGAGAAGCAGCACAGGCAGAAGTGAGCTCTGCAGGTGCTGCTTCTCTGCAGTGCCCCAGTGCTCACTAAGAAGCACGTTCAAAAGGACTAACCTGCTGCAATCAACACAGAAAAATATAAATGCCCCAGTCCATCTCAAAGTGAATACAGAATAACATATCATTAAAAAAAACTACTAGGAATTTTTTAATATTTGGACAATCCTAATTAATTGTAAAACGGTACAGTCGCAGATGACATGAAAAAGCCCAGGCGAGCTCGTGGCTCCGAAGACCTTTAGCGCTATCTAAGGGAAGAAAGCCGAGTTATCCTTAGGATGTGTAGGTATTTTCCAATGTTTATTACTGAGAAAAATTGGTATTTGTTTTTTGGTGCTTATTTAATTTTTAAACACCAGAGTATTTCAGTTGGATGACTTGTGTCAAGGCTAGAAACTGTGATAATCAGTGAAAAAATGAAAAGAGGCTCAGTACACCCCTAGTTAACATAAATAAATGCTGCCACAGTGAGAGTAATTGAGACATATTATTTTGAACGAGCTCAATAAGCACGTCAAATGTGAATTTTTTTTTTCTTAGTTGCAGAACAAACTTTAATTTAAGAATCACCAAAAAGATGCACAGCACAGCTTCATCTTGTTTATTATTGGAGTTTTTGTTATTGAAAGTTGAGAACAGACACTGAATTTGAATTTTACTGTGCAAGTGGAAGGAATTTTAGAGCACCTTCTGTGACTGCGAGGTGGAAAAAAATTTACACCCTTCAGCCCCGTATCCAGAAAAGTGGAACAGTTCCAGCAAACTCAACACAGGGTGATATTATACTGACACCAAACAGAGCCCGTAGCCCTGGAAGCCCTTTAAAACTAAACTGATAACAATGAACACATCTCCGTTCCCCAGGCGAAGAGACATATTCTGTCAGGTCAGTGGTCCTGGACCACACTGATGTTGGCAGTGTCTTCCAAGAACCACAGCAACCTCTGAATAGACACTGGAAGGATGCAGGGTCCACGAGATAACACATTAAACAAACCTCTATGGGGGAGGAGTTTGGAAGAAAATAGCCGTCGCTAGGGCAGAAGCATTCAACGACCAGTGTCTTTCAGTTTGAACTGATTTTGTATTTTCGCCACTAGATGTTTATCTGTGTTTTTCAGTTAAAACCAGAAAGCGTACAACCTAGTTATCATCGGGGCTATTGTGTGAGCGAGCACAATTCAGCGACTGTTCGACTTTTGTCATTAGGCCCCACTTGGCCGGCAGACAACTGCTGAGTCAACACCGATAGTAGTAGTGCTCAGTGAAATAAAATAAAAGCAGCTTATCGTCATTTATCCCGAGAACTTGTTATCAAACACTGGAAAACTGATTGCTCAACCTGCCGAGCAATCAGTTCGGCGAAATCAGCATGAACTCAACGACCGCTGGTCAAGCGAGGAGCGACGACAAACATTTAACAGTTGCTGAAGCCTCGATAATGGTTGAGCTTTCTTCTGATAGATAGTGCGGCAGGTCTTGTAAGCCCTGTGCTCGCCTGGGCATTTTCATATCGTCCACGACGGTACAGGCGCAAACCGAGGTGTTCCAAACACCACGGCTGTTTCGGCTTTGTTGGTAGCAGAAGGTTTAGTTGTGATTATAAGTCGACCCCCACCCCCCTTTCAGATTTTCAAAAATTAAAGAACATGGTTGACCAACAGTTACGTAACTAGGGTATCTTCCATGGTAATTGATACACAGCATATCACTCCAAATCGATAAAATTTGTAATGGAACAGTGCGAATTTTACAAGGACAGAGGAAGGAAATGGACAATAAAATTTCAGCCTGCAAAATATTCTCAAAATCCACTCTGTCAAATTCGCAATATTGAACCCACAAAAATAAAGTCTCGTACAGTATTTCTTATTGATAGCACATACATTTGATCTCGCAAATACTTCAAAACCTTCCATCTAGTTAAATGCAGTTCCAGGACTACCTCATGGATGGCGCCAGCGTGCCACACTGTTATCTCGTCGGCTGCACAACTCAATGCCTGCAACCAAATGCAAGTGCATGGGCCCTCAAGGGTTCTCTCTGAGTGCTTCGAGCTAAGCAAACTTCCTTGACAATTCTATATTACCCTCTTTTCTCCCTCTGAATGCGTTCCAACTTTGCTCGGGTATGTATGCAAGTGAGGCCGGTGGCGAGACATACCTCTGCAGTGTTGTCAGCGCCCTGACCAGCCGTGTTCCGTGGCCCCTGGACTTGACTTCGTGCAGCCACGGTCCAGGCTCCAAAGTCTGGATCCGTGCCTCCCTCCGCCCATTCACGTCCAGGCGACTATGGGACCCTGCAACGGGTGGGCAGCTCACAGCTACACAAATAATGCCGCAAACAAATAGACCTGTCGTCACATTACCCCAGCACCAAAAAGGATGCTGGAAAAGTAGGTGTGAGGGGTGTTCAATAACTTATCTAGCCAAGTATGAAAGAAAGTGGCAAGCATGTGGAAACAAGTCTAGGCATGTTGTGACATGACTCAAGGTTAGCCATGCAAACATGTTGAACATAACAGTACACAAAGGACAAAGGAAAGAAACACAAAAGACACACAAGCGCTGACTCGCGCAAGACACAAAGAAAGATGAAAGGTGAGTGAATGACTGCCTCATTGAATATGATCTATTCCTGAAATGAACGGTGGGGGGTCACCTTCCTTTACACTGCAGATCCTGTCTGTGTTCACCTCCTTTTCAGGGCACGATAATTATTGGAAGATATTGCATTCACCACGTTTCAGCGTACAATAATTATTGGAAGATATAAATACAAAGACACTCACAAAATTCTAGAGGCACACATTATCAATAGTTTGGGAGAATGGTGCGTTAGCCAGCCTTCAGTAGCACTGTAGGATGAGGAAACTTTATTTTTGGATATGTCCCTCTTTAATATAATTAATTTGTAGTTTGAAATCATGCCATTTTGATTTAGAGTTATTGTGTACTCTACCTTTAAGCTGTGTCTGTGGTATGCTCTTATAGTGCCAGCCTTTTTGATGCTTTCATCTGCTTGTTTCTTCGTGCATTTTATACTTTAGTTGTGAGCCAGTACTTCTCTGTCTTGCACGTTCCTTTCCTTTATCCTTGTTCTTTATATGCTGTTATGTTCAACATGTCATCATACGAACCAGCCCAGCTCACCACCATTTTACTGATGCAAAACTGCTGTGGCTCTGTGCGAGACTAGTAGTAACGGACCTGGGCCGATGCCGAGGTATTGGTCTCCTTTCCAGTAGCCAATGTTGTGCCGACATTCATGGCCCTCCCGAGCAAAGTTGGATGCCTCATAACGCAGCAGCCCTCTGGACTTCAGTGCCTATGGGGCAAAGGATCTGTCATCTTTTGTGGCAATTTAATGACACGGTTAGAAAGAAATGAGCGAGGCCATACTATGCAATGAGTAAAAAAGAGTAGAAGAGTAGGAACAAGGAAGGCACAACTCACCTCCACAGCTGCCAAGTACATCTGGGAGACCGTCTCTCGACATGGCATGCTCTGTTTTAACAATAAAAGTGTGCAAGAACGATTGAGCCACTCTTCACTGCTCAGCAATAAGCTGCAAACCTCCAAAGAGTACTTGCAAGGAAGTGAAAACGCAAAGGGCAGTTCAAATGCATGCTTCGTGTCTGAGAAGAACTCTCTAAAAAAAAAAAAGAGCTCTCTCCAGAAGCCCCGGTCAAGACGCAATCTATTTTTTTTATAAATACATTCACAAAATAAATGATTATACTCTAACCTCACATTCTAATCTGCACTCATGTTCCGCATTGCTATCACTGAAATGTCTAAAGATGGTCCGAGTCAAAATGATCCTAACTAATTTGTGTGCCAATACTTTTTTTTTATTGATTGATTGATTGTACCTGATTGAGCGCATGAAAAAAAAGAAATGCTTGAAAAATGTTGGCCATTTTATGGTTGATTAATTTTTCTTTAAAGCCTATTTCAGTCTAGTGATTGGGTCAGACAGGAGAGAAAAAATATGTGCATATAGACAAGTAGTACTTTCGCCTCGAGAACGAACCGTGTCGCCACCGTGCGGCTGAAATTGGAAACATGCAAAAGCGGGGATACCGCCGTGTGTCCTCTACTATGGGCGCAAGTTCAGAAGCATGGATCTCGACGATGCAAGCCTGTCTCCGGCTGAGCTTGACCCTCCTTATTAAATCTTTGACGTTTCTGTTGTCCTTTCTTCTTACTAAAGGTTGAGCTGTATCGTTTCACATGCGGTGAATTCAGCGAAGCAATTATTATTAAGTCGGAAGCTTACATAATCTTAGTGTGCTGGTTTGTATAGAACCTCTGGTCCCACACATTTTTGTTATCTCGCATAAACCATAGCTTTAATAACACATTGAATGTTGATTGGAGCTGTGGTTTGATTATAAAATTAACCCCACTGATCGCTACCCTTTAATAGACTAATCAATTGATACATCCGTTAGTTGATTTTTCGCTGGTCATATTGCATGAAAGATGTTAAAACTACTTTTGTTTTACTATTTTCACAAGCACACTGAAGTGGTTTACCGTGCAAGCCTGTGTCATAAAAAAATGAAGACGTCAAAAATATTAAAGCCTGCATTTTTTACTCTTTGTTGACTTTCTCCTGCACAAAATTTCAATTAAACAGCGAAAAAATAAAACAAAATGCAATTAAAGCATTACTTGAATAACCTGAAGGTTAGTCGATGAACTGCCCAGTTCCGATGTACGTTAGGTGAGGCACAGGGTGATCAGAAAGTTTCGTGACGGTCGCTAGCCCTCATCAGAAAAAGAGTATTGCTGCGGCCGATGCTGTCTGTGTTGTGGTGCGGGTCGTTTGATGGAGTTGCAGAGTCTACTGTGTTTGAATAAAAGATTATTTAGTCAGAAATTTATAATATTAGCCTCTTGACATCCGCGGCTCTCACCAAGAAAATTGGATCAGGTGAACACCTTCTACTGAGAAGAGCATTTAATACCACAAACATTGCTGCGTTGCTCGGTTACAGTCGTATGTCACACTCACGGCAGATATATTAGAACAATTAATTTGTTTCACTCGTTTGGGTTGTCCTGCCAACGTGCAGTTTGCGGATCGTAACAAGAAGAGGCATTCTCTCTTCATCGCAACGTAGTAAAATTGTTCAGATCCGAAAAACTTACCCATATCATGGCACAGTAAAGGGAAACATTGGCTGCAGCGGAACTCAATTGCACGGTAATTTCCAATACAGCACTAACTTCTTTTCAAGCTAAATACTTATAATACTGCAAAAACTAAAAGTAAAAAAAAAAAAAATGCATCGAACCTGCGATTTTACAGCCCACAGTACTAGTATTATGTTATCTGGGTTGGAATTCATTGTTTTGTTGAATTCCGATGCTGGTAAACCGATACATCTATTTTTTAAAAAAAATATATATATATATATATATACTGTAAACGACTTAATTGTCCTGAAGACCTAATTTTCGCAAATTTCTGGAATCACCTACAACTTGCGAAGAATAGGTTCCGCGAACAATTCTGGTAAAATGTAAACATGTTGGAATCTATATTGAGACCCCACCGCGTCGTGAAAATTAGAACCCTCAAATTATTTCAATTATTTCACAAATTATTTCGGAAAATATTGAGCCCGCGAAAAATAAGTCATTTACAGTATTTAACATAAATAGTGCAGTTCAGCCAGAAACAGGCATCCGTCGTGGTGATCCATGCTTCCCAACGTCTGCCTAAAGCAGATGACGAATCCACACGAGCGATTATTGAAATTTAGGCCGTACGCTGGTAATACGATTCAATCTTCACTGAAGCACCACACCATTTTTCGCTAAAAACGCTTTCCCACCGATACTACCGTATTTACTCAAATCTAACGCGCACTCTTTTTCCGGGGAAATACGTCCAAAAATTGCATGCGCACTAGAATCGAGTACGACCCAAAACTGCACTACCATATTGCTATTGATATTTTAAAATAGCCGCTCCACTACACGTTGAGAGGCTGAAAGCGTAGCCAGCGCTTAGCACAGTCGTGTGCATCCTGCGTTCGTATGAGCATGGAAGTTACCACAGCAAAGACACGTCGCGTTCACCATGATGGTGGGTTCAAAAGAAGTGATACAGTGAAACCCGTTAAAAAAAAACAACCCCGTACAGCGAATAATTGTCGATATTGAACTGACGGAAAATTTAAATAAAAATGCATGTAAAAAGTACATTTTATAACGAACAACACATTGGCTATATCAAAATTTTTCCCCTGGGAAGGCTTCCAAAAACGCAAACGAAACTGAGTGAAGAGAAGCGATTCAGAAGGGGAGGAAGCTAAAAAAACTGCATGTGCACACAGAAAAAAAAACACTTGTCATCCCAAATGGTTGCCTACGAAGAGAAGCGATGCAGAAGGGGGGATAAGCCACAATAACAAAATCTGCATGCGTGCAAAAAAAAAGAAAACTTCAGTGCGTTGTTCTAAGGCGGAAGTGAAGAGATGAAAAAAAAAGAGAAGCTCTCGCCTTACAACGAACGCATTGTGGAAGTTCATTGTAAATAGTTTTTGCTATATCGAACTGATTGTCGAGCTTCCTGCTGTTCGTTATAAATGGGTTTGACCGCATTGTGCGGAGAGTGACGGGAACTGGGCCTCATCACGTGCATTTAGTGTTCCAGAAACTTGCGTACAAGACTGGCGCAAGCAGAAAGAAAGGATTTGGCCAGCAAGTCAACGCAGAGGGATTCAGTGGACTGAAGGAGGGCCGACTCCCCAAAATAGGAGACCGGCTCGCAGAATATGTACAACAGCAGCGGGCGGCACAGAGACCCGTGACGACAGAGCTGCTCAAAATTCGGGCGATGCAGTTAGCAATACAACAAAGGCTAACGCGGAGAGAGTTCAAAACCAGCAGGTGCTGGGTGACGGACTTCATAAATAGAAAAGGCTTTTCACTTCGACGACGGACAGGCATATGCCAGAAATTGCCTGTGGGGTTTGAAGAAAAGCTGGACGCCTTTCAGCGGTGCGCCTTAAATTTGTGCCGCGAGAACAGCAACCAGCTCGGGCAAATCGGAAATGCCAACCAAACGCCACTACACTTCGATATGCCTGCCACCATAACCATGGAAAAGAAGGGAGCGAAGCAAGTTCGCATGTTATCTTTCGGTCACGAAAAGACTAGAGTCACTGTAATGCTTTGCTGCACTGCAGACGGGCACAAACTGCCCCCTATCTTATCTTTAAACGCAAGATGCTTCCAAAAGGAGTCCTGTTCCCCAGCAGAGTAATCGTGCGGGCAGATGAGAAGGGGTGGATGACCACGGACTTGGTTGCAGATTGGATTGACCACGTGTGGCAGAGGAGACCCGGAACAAGCTTAGGCCTGCGCGCGATGCTTGTTCTAGACACGTTCAGGTGTCACCTCCACGAGCGCATTAAGAACAAGCTCACCGCGTACCACACCGAACTTGTCGTGATACCCGGCGGCATGACATCGCAGTTGCAGCCGCTGGATGTTTCTCTTAACAAGCAGGTGAAAGACCAGATTCGGGCACTCTACACTGAGTGGCTTGTTGATGGCTGCTACAAATTCACAACCAGCAATAGGATAAAGCGTGCCTCACTGCAGGACTTCGCCGAATGTGTGAAAGATGCGGGGTGCACGATCCCGTCTGCCATTGTTGTCAAGGCCTTCAAGAAGTGCGGGATTTCTAACGCTATGGACAGCACTGAAGATGAAATGCCTTGGGCCATTGACAGCGATAAGGAGTCGTCCGACAGTGATGATGAGTGATGCATACTGCCCCAAGGGGCGCTGCCCCGAACCGGCGTCGTGATGACGACCTTGCCGGCGAGAGACAGCGCCGTTCATTTCATCGCAAAATCGACTCATTTGGAATAAACCTTCGTTGTGCCAAGTGAGAAAAAGTTTAATTTCTGAATCCAACCTACAAAATCTGGTGCATGTAACAATCAAAATCATCGCGTTTTTTTTTTTTATCTCGAAAAATGGGTGCATGTTACAATCGAGGGCGCGTTAGATTCGAGTAAATATGGTATGCGACAAAATAAATGCAAGAATCTACGCCATCTCGCGCGCAAACGTGGAGAGTCTAGGAGGCAGCCGTGCTTCTATCCCCAATTTGATGATGATGATAGCGCAACAGTTGCACCACCTCTAGGTCGATCTCAAGGCCAATAGTCCAAATAAATAACTACTATAAATTACATAAGCAGCACAAACCTTATACTGTTTGCACTGGTTTTCATACAAGCAACCTGTAAGAGATACTGTCAAACGGCATTAAGAGGAGGAATAAAAAAGGCTTATGTACAATATTTACATTGGTGGGAAACGTGACCTGTTGAGGTGTTCGGCGTGCATTGCGTTGTTCAGTATTCGTTGAGGCGATCTGACTTCAGCACATTGTTGTCTTCATTCTGCTATGTCGTTTTTCTCGCGATTGAGCATGTCGTTTTCATCGTTTTCACTCAAGAAATAAAGTTCTA